TTATAGCTTGTTTGAAACGATTTTGTAGTCGCAGGGGTAAATGTACAAAATTATTCAGTGACAATGTAAAGAATTATGTGGGTCAAGCATTGAGCTCAGAAAATTGCATAAATTGGTTAAACACCCAGATGAAACACTGACTAAATACCTGCTAAGTGAAAACATTGAGTGGAGGTTTATGCCTCCTAAATCACCAAACTTCGGCGGCCTTTGGGAAGCCGGGATGAAATCTTTTAAGTTTCATTTGAAACGAATTATTGGCAATGCTCATCTGTTTCTTGAAGAATTTCTCACTGTAATTCTAGAAATTGAAAGCGTATTAAATTCTAGACCCCTTACTCCCCTGTCATCCGAGTTTGATAATTTTGAAACCTTGTCCCCCGGACATTTTCTCATAGGAAGGTCTTTAACTTCAATAGCTGAACCTCAACTTATTGAGATACCAGAAAATAGGCTCTCAAAGTGGAAAAAATAACGAAATATAGTCAACAAATTTGGAAGTTATGGAAGAGAGACTATTTAAATAACCTTCAACAACGTAGTAAATGGATGTTTGCTAAAGATAATGTTAAGGTGGGTTCACTTGTGTTAGTCAAAGATGAGCATATGCCCAGTACAAAATGGTTAACAGGTAGAATTGCAGAAATAATTTTTGGAAAAGATAAAAAAGTTCGAGTGATTAACATAGTATTATCAGGTGGTAAAATGTTAAAAAGAAATGTGAGGGACATTTGTGTTCTTCCGGGGAATTGTAATTAGATTTATGTATTGTGTATTGTAATGTGTTTCTTTCTAGTGTTTATATTGCATTTATGATTTAATGTGCGTTTTAAAATTGAACCATTGTATTGTTATTGCTTACAATTGTTTGTTATTATATTGTGCTTTAAAACAGTGTATACTAATTGTAATATTTTGAAACTCGTAAGGTTTCAAGGTCGGGAGTATGTTCAGTAGTGATTAAGAGTTGCCGACAGGAGGCGCTGCTAGCGCGTTATACTCTCGACCCACGTAATTTCAATTGAGTATTCTTTTCTTTTGTGTACTTGCTGTAACAGATCTTACAGCTTTGTGATTGAGAATTTAAAATGTTTTGGAGCCAGATCGCTTCTCTACAACAACAAAATGATTAATAAATACATAATAAAGTTAATAGCTTTGTGATGATAATCTTTGTTATTAAATACAAAGTCAACCAGCTCCTGAGTACAGTTCAATTTCTATTTCTAATTAATTGTCGAATGGTATTGTTCTTGTATCTCTTGTCTTCTCTCACAGTTTTTCTGTTATTCAATAATGCATTATGGAGTTCATCACTGAATTACCTTTAAAAAAGTGTCTAACTCATTCCTCGATTGTATTGTATTGGTAGGGTACTGGGTGTTGTTTAGAGCTTTGGCATATCCTGCCCAGTTAGTAATAAGGGCTCTTTTGTATGGTGTACTGTATGAATTGGTAGTAATTTCCATCATTACATGGTCCGAGGACATCTCCGTCAGACTTTCAACATAACTAGGAGACTTAATGTTTTACAGAATAAAAAAAGTCCATAATAGATGGTCTGCCTATCCCACAATGTGTTGGTTTCACTGGGAATGATAGGTTAACATTGGTCGCTTGGGCAACCTTATTAATTATGCGTCCGTACTCATTAATATCCCAACAATTCCACGCGCGGTTGTGTGGGTTAAAATATCCACCTATGATAACTCGATTGTTAATGTTTAATAATGTTTGTAAATCTGTTTTCACAGAATTTACGGGTGTGTGTATAGGAAAATAGGTGGAGATAATAATGATTCGTCCTGAAGTGTTTGGCGTGAGTGCAATAGCTAAGGCTTCAATAGCTAAAAGCTGTGGTAATGGTATGACATAATGAGAAATGGAGCGCTTAATTAAAATTAGCAATCCACCTCGTGCATTGCCTCTGGGTGCATACCTTCCATCAGTTGGTCTGTCCGAGCGGTATGTAACATAATTGAAAGCTCTGAAATAGTTTTGGGGGCCAAGCATATGTTCCTGTAGGAGTACAATATCAGGGGAAAATTCGTATAAGAACTCCTTGAGCTCGTAAGCTTTTTGGAACAGTCCATTTGCATTCCAAGTAATAATAGTAAGAGGCATATTCTGATTAACCTGATATATTATTATGAATTTCGTTTACAATTTCATAGTACATAAAAGCCAGTAGCTTCGCAGAATTCTCTACGTCGACCCGCGGGGGGGGGTGTGTGTGCAGACTCCGGATAAAAGATGAATTACAAAAATGTGTTCTGTGTGATGAATCAACAGCCATCTGCAATGTAACTTAAGTAAGCATTTTTATAAGGATGGCCTCTTTAATGATTGTCCAGGAAAGACACATATACTGTCAGTTTTGCTACTGAAAGGCATATATCAAGACACAGTGGACATATATCTAAGACTATAACTGAAATTTTAGCTTCAAGATCTTGCGTCCATAATAATTGACACAGCGGATCTGCCATGATTGGGTCTGCTGTTGGTTTCATCACATTATGTAAGAATTATGCTGACTCTCAAAACTTGTTTTAACTGGCACTGTATCATCAACAACAAGCGGTCATGTATGACTGTTTTACTTTATGAACGCGTGTTGAAAATGGCTCGAAAAACTGTAAATTATATTTGTATTTGACTATTAGAACAGGTTGTTCAAAGTATGGACTGATGAATTTTATGACGAGTATGGAACTTTAATCTTACATTCTGAAATTAGATGGCTTAGTAAGGAAAATGTCCTACAACAATTTTTAGAACTTCTAGAGATAAACAACTTTTTGAAACCAGAAGATAAGCTTTGAAAAACATAGTTATCAAAGCTGGTTATCTAGTTTACCCTTTACTACAGACAAAACAGCCAAAACGAATTTAAACTTCAGTGAAAAGAAAAGACTATTATTGAGTTACTAAGAAATATAAGCGCATTTAAAACAAAATTAAATTGAATGTAATATTTAAATTATAAAGTATTTTAACTTTTGTCGCTTTAAAACTCTGGGGAAGAAAATTGAAGCAATTAAATATTTTGAAAATCTATTCAAACTAAAAAATAATTCCTGATTTCATATCGAGCTTAATTAGAATTTCTGATTTTCATAAAATTTAGGCCATTCACTCATTAATTTCAAATCCCATTGTTGATACTAATATTTTTGAAATATTGGAACATATTGCAAAAATTTTATATTCAAATTCCACTGATCTAGAAATGAAAATAATTAATTTTCAGTCTGATCTGTAATTCAAAACAAGAATGTCACAAACAGATTATCGAATGCTCGTAGATGAGAAAAAATATCCACTTTTAAAAGAAAATTTTCAAATTAAATTCCTATTTTGAACCATCTTATTATTGCAAAAGCCAATTATCATTTCAACCACGAACTTGTTAAAATCAAAGCTCAGATCTAGTGTCAAACGAACATCCAATTGACTGCATAAATTTAGCCACAGCGTCATATGTATCAGAGTAGAATTAAACTAGTAGAAGACGCGCAATGTCAGGTTTCACATTAAAATATGCTTCTCCTGTATTTAATTTGTATCTTATTGAATTTTTAATAAATAGTAAAACTAAGCGTATATAACTAAGCGTTTTCCTTAACAAATCATACCACACATTTCTATAGTTTGTGATTATATACCTTTACAACTGAAGTATTAAAAATCCGATATATAACTGAGGCTCGCCGAAATTTTTAAAGTTTAAACTTTCTTAGACCCAATTAAAGGTTGGGCACCACAAGGCTAAGGGGGGCCAGATAGTACTGAATAATTTGTAGCATAACGCTTAAATGAATATTTCTGGGAGGTAATGAGGTTGATTTTTAAAATAGTTATAATTCACAAATGAAATCTTATCAAAAATAAATAAATAAATAAATAAATAAATAAATAAAAAATAAAAAAAATAAAAATTTTCGATTAGCAAATATTTTAATTCAGCATGGACAAATTAAACACTCAGTTTTAAACTGTATGTTTTTCCTTTTAACGTAATATTACGAATTTTGTATATATGTAAATAATTTTAGTGAAATTATATATAAATTGTAATACCTCTTGCACGATGTAACATGAAAGGCTCAGAAAGCGAAGCATTGCGAGGAAAATAGGAGTACAGGGTTAAATCCGTTTATCATTGATTTATTTAGCAACAGTTTTGGAGACTAATTTTTGTCACCAAAAGTCGCCAATCCTTCCAAAAGTCACAAAGCTTGGCGACCATTTGGTGACATTTTGGTTTGATTCCCGTGTAACTGTAATTGGTTCGGTCCCTGTGTAACTGTAACAGTACCCGGTCTTATGTAATTGTAACCGTGGCTGCCTTCCAGAAATTTACTGGAAATTTCTCGGTGGACGGGGAAAGACTTCATAAGAACAGAAAGCAGTTTTCAGTTGAGTTCAGAGCATTAAAAATCGCCGTGAGAGCTTCAGTTTTAAATGCGCTTTGCACTACCTTGTGTTCAGCGTTTATAATAGTTAGAAGTGGTAACTACTGATTGTAGTCTGTCATAGGAAGAAGAGCTGCACAAGTACATTTGTGTGAAAAAGTCCCGAACTGTAAAGAATTTTATTTCTTTTCTAAATAAATTTCATCATGCTGTCATGAGTTCTGTGTGCAATCAGCCCATTGCGAACCCGTACGCACATAACAATAGTTTTGGCACTGTTTAATTTTGTATTTATTCATTATTATTGTTCACATTAATCGTTTTATTATCTAAATTAATATTATTTGCCAGTTAGTTGAATATTTTAGATATATTGCAAAGGAAAAGAGCTGGTTAGTTCGTTGCTAAGCTATCAGCCATAGACATCAATAGCGAAATCGGTGATATACACCATCTTGCGAATTTATGCTAAATTTTTATCTTCATAAATTAGGCAAAACAAAATCACGGCTTTCTTCCAACCTATAATGTTTATGTTTTTCCCTTCTCATTTTCTTTGATTTATATTATTTTGTCTCAGATGAATGGATGGAAAAAATTTACGAAGAAAAAGAGGATCATAAGCTTGAAGAATGTACTTCGAAATGCAAGGAAGATTGTGAGTATGTATTTTTTATTTTCCTTTCATTCTCACTACTTACGTTTAAATAATAATAAGTGCACTGTAATTCCAATTACGTTACATCCTGAATGTCAGTCATTTACTATCTGTAAAGTCAGTGTTTCTATAATGCAGACTTCAGCTTTACTTCAAATTGCAGCTTATATGAAGATTGATAATTTATTTCATGCACTGAGTTTTTTAAGTTACAGATTCAGAAACTAACCTATGTTGCTATCTTCAAATTAGTTTCCTCCTGATTACCGTTCGTCTTCAGGGGCTCTTTGTTAGAACGGGTGTGGCAATCCTGAGATATCTTAGCCCATTTAAAGTATCACCTTATTGATGAAACGGGTTTCGTGATTCCGGAATCCCATTTACCTTTCGTCCTTTGGACCACCAGCAGCAGAGCTGTAACGTCACTGAACACTGGTAATTCGATCCGATGTTCGAATCCCGCGAAGGGACTGTCTGTATGGTCGTTTTCGTGGTTTTCCCCATGCGTAACATGTATACGGGCCAGTTCCACTTAGAAAGTCCTCCACGAAGGGATGCTTCCCCTTAGGTAGATAGCCATCAAAGCTTTGCTATAATCGTTATAAACCAAACCAACCTTTCCTCCTTTCCTTTTCTTCTTGTAATTTGTTTTTTGCTTTCTTTGTCCCTTGTGGTTCCTTTTAGAAAGTTGGAACTCAAATTGAGATGTTGCTATATACCTTTTGGCTCCGGCCAAAGAATTTTTTCTTTGGCTTCTCATGGAGAAAAAACTGCTTGCGCGTTTGCCCTACTCAAAGACATGCAAGATTGGAAAGGATGATAATGGTAATTGAGAGACAAGGTACTGTCCTGGACACACTGCTTTGTCCTTTATTTCACGCCCACCAGCGGCCGAGCGGTAAAGACGCTGAACACTGGTAGTTCGGTCCGAGTTCGAATCCCACGAACATGCTGGTTGCATGGGCGTTTTCGTGGTTTTCCCCATGTGTAACGTGTATACGAGCCAGTTTCCTTAGAAAGTCTTCCACGAAGGCATCCCTCCCCTTAGGGAGATAGCCCTAGTGAGCTTTGCCGTAATTAAATACACCACACCACACCAACACAATGTGGGAGATCGTCGTCAGATCCGAATCAATTTTCTTTGTAAATATGGGTAATCTTAATAAACATTACACATAAAAATGTCAATGAATATATCCAAAACATTATAGCTGTGTAAATGATAATGCTGATGATAGTAAATCATTGACTTAATTTAGAATTGTAATGTTTTGCTTAATGTTTCCTAATGTTCTAGAATTGTTCCCTTATTAAGGTGGTTACCAGGAAAACGGTAAACTTTACATGGTAAAATTAAAAAATAAAGACCTGAGAAAAAAAGAAAACAATTTTGGGCCAAAATGTCTGATATCTGGATTGTCGTCAGATATAAAACATTCTCGCTGTGTAGGCGCGAATTTACAAAAGCCCAATTTCTTTTATTAATTTCTATTAACATTATCCGATTGATTGTAGTACATGCCTGTAAAACATTTTGCAAACTAGTGTTAAACGTTCATGGTGTAAATGATCACTGTCATAAAGTACTGACAATGTGTTTTTCACACCAAAGGGGCCTGATAAAACTTACTTGGTCAAGCTTTCTGTGATGGCATTTGCTTTGACTTGGCATCATAGCCATAAACATACGATTCGTCCTGTATTATATCGAAGGCATCCCTCCCCTTAGGCAGATAGCCCTCGAGGCTTTGCCCTAATCACACACTCACACACACGTACTGTATTATGATGATGGACAATAATATGTGATCTCTGGAATGAGGCTTACTCAAGCTGTGTTAAATCTTTCAATGGTTTATGTTTTTATTCTCTGTGACAATTGTACCTAGTTACGTACATCCCTGGGGTAGCTATACAAAATTTTAAAACTTTCGGCGACCTACCGCCTGTAGGAAGTCAGCGAATGCTGTTTGGACGTTTGAGAAAAGGTTTATAGTGGGTAAAAATGGTATTGGCAGTTGCCTATAATTGATCAATCTAGCTAACAGAGGAAATGCTTGACAGTTTTAGCTGGACATAATGAGCACAGGAGCCAATAAAGACACAAATCTAATGAAACTTTGTGTAAAATATGCCTTTTACACAAAATTATACAACAAAAACGTAAATTTGCGTGTCAAAAATGTATTGACAAGATCATAGAGCAAAATTTGGGAACAAAATATAATACTTTGTATTCATACCTTTTGCATTTATAATAGCTTGCAATCTGTTTCTCATAGAGAAAAGTCCTAGTTGTCAAAAAAGTCTTGTTGTGAAAAATTAAAGTCCAAACAATGGTTGCTTTTGTAAGTCTATGCTATTTGAATAATACGTGCTACAAAATTTTGACAGCCACTATTTACGATGTTTTCATCAGCTGCCTGAGGCCCACCAGCGGCCGAGCGGTAAAGTCGCTGAACACTGGTAGTTCGGTCCGAGGTTCGAATCCCGCGAACGGGCTGGCTGCATGGGTGTTTTCGTGGTTTTCCCCGTATCTAACGTGTATACGAGCCAGTTTCCCTTAGAAAGTCCTCCACGAAGGCATCCCTTCCATTAGGCAGATAGCCCAAGTGTGCTTTGCCATAATTAAATACATCAACACCATCAGCTGCCTGACGAAATGTAAATATTTTGTTTTCTACTTTCTCTAGGCAAGAGAAATCAACCTTTATTTCTCCTTAATGTACTTTGAGTTCAGACCTAAAATTTTATTTGAATTTAGTTTCGCGCAGCGAGGAGTTCAATGCCCATAACGGATATGACTAAATTGATTGCGTAACATTTTCTGAAAATTGTGAAAATTATATTTCATTGATTTTAATAATTATTGTTCTGCCGAAAAAACGCCTTTGAAAGGACGGTTCTAGTATTCAACGACCACAATACATTTTATATTGTAAAATATTCTCAAACTTAAAATTTGCTATAACATTTCAATAGTCAGCATAATGGTGAATCCTCACGACATGATCTTAACATCTTGAAGTTTAAGAAGGCCCAATTATTAGCGGTACTGTTACAAAATTTCAAGCTGCGGCAGTGCAAAAGCCCTCGATAGAAGTTTCTTAAATACACTTTGTGCACATGAGACTTCAAAACTTTTTGGGTTCTGAAGCGTAAAATAAAAGGTTAGCAGATCGATTCACGCATGATTCAGTTCGCGCATTAAAGATTTCTCATTGCTGATATTTTAGTGCAAGTAGTAGAAAATGAGTCTCGTTCCTTTAAAACTGAGTACTAAGCCGGCTGAATCAAATGATGTTGAAATAAGTAGGTGCCGCTTAATCTGATCACGTCTATTCCATAACTATGTTGATAACATTAAGAGATGAAAAAATTATCCTTCAAAATATCAACAGAATTTAACTAATTAAATATAAATACGACTAGAAACATATAAATACTTATACAGCATTTTTAATTAGGGAAAACAATCATTAATAGTTGGATGTCTGTTGGTCATAAAGGTTAGCAAGTAGATTTTATCCCTCAGATCATTACGCCTTTTGCTAGACTCCGCGATGAAAATTCTGAAACATAATAAAGTAATGAGAGTTTTCCAAACAGAATATTCATAAAAGTGTGCCGATCAAAACAAGCGGAGAACTATTTTGGCACAAAAAAAAAAAAAAAAAAAAAAAAAAAAAAAGAAGGAGTCATGAAGAATTTTCGCTCTAATCGGTCATGCTCCCAGTCGGTTTAGTCCAGCAGTCAGTCTTGGCTCCTTTGTACATTGTTGCCTTAAATCAAAATCAAGCAGTTTGGCAACCTTGGCGATATGTCTGTGTCATTTGATAATTTCGATACTCTATTTCGAACATATTTGGCTATTTTATCGTTTATTTGGCGACTTCAGATTAAAATATTTTATAATATTAAAGATTCAGATCCCAAAGCACACTAGGACTATCTGCCTAAGGGGAGGGATGCCTTCGTGGAGGACTTTCTAAGGGGAACTGGCTCGTATACACGTTACACATGGGGAAAACCACGAAAACGCCCATGCAACCAGCCCGTTCGCGGGATTCGAACCTTGGACCGAACTACCAGTGTTCAGCGACTTTACCGCTCGGCCGCTGGTGGGCCCTCAGATTAAAGCATTTTATAATATTAAAGATCAGATTAAAGTATTTTATAATATTTAATTATATATTAAAGTATTCTAAACTATTTTGATAACATAACCGACTTGTTGATCACGATAAGCGATCGATTTTACACGTTTTCAAATGGGTGGGACCTCAGCAATTCTATAACAATATCCAAATAGCATCGTTAACTACGATCACAGTAAGCGGGCGCCTACTGTAATTGTAGTCAGTTGTTGGTATTTATATGATGCATTAAGGAGAAAGGATTGTAGGAATAATTTTTATTTTGTGTGCTGCACAAGTTCATTATGTAAGAAGTTGATATCTTCGATCATATTAAAAACTCTTTTTATTTGAAAGCATTAGATAACCATGAATGTGGCAGGCTTAATTTGCAGCGATAATGAGCCCAGAACATTGGGAAAATGTTCCAAAGGATATGTTCCACTGGATATTTCATATATCATATGATACACTCATTTCCATTCATAATGTAAAAATACAGCGGGCTTCAGTAACGCATTGTATGCTTCAACGACATGCACTTGTATACTTTGTACCACAATGTTTTTAGAACTGCGATGTTTTCGCATTGTCTTCTTTTCTCCCACCATAATCTCCCTTTGCAGGACGATGATCTCCTTTTGCGTTGTTTCCTCCGCGAAATTTTCGTCCGCGACGACTTCATCTGTAACTACAAGAATAAAGGCCGTTACTAACGAATTAGTTTCTGAAATTTTATCCTTCGCTGCTATTACAGCTACCAAACTTCTTTCAAATAATATTAGTAGCTGAGTGTAAGAAACATAGAACTGACTAACGCAAATTTTTAGAAAGTAATTTAGTAATTTTAATAATATTTTTATTTAGATCAGAGTAAGAGAATGCGTTTCCTGTTTTTGAATTGAAATATTTTGTACCAAACAGATGGATTTATGATGAATCAATTGTTATATTTTCCTCATTATTATTTAATTTGTGCAATCGAAAATTTCAACGTCTACGTTTTAAATTGCTTTCATGTACAATGCATGCTCTTAAAATGCTCTAGTGAATGCCTAATTTCTTACATAAATTTATATTAAGAAATAATTAAAATTGCATTTTTAATTTTCTGTTTCTTTTCAGGAAATTTAAATATACTTATCATTTTCAAGAAAGATACGAAAGAGTAAGTATATTTTATTCATGCTGAATAGCGGTTCATTGTTTCTTTTTTTAAATAAATTTTAGTTCGAAAAGTGATTCCTTTTTACCGAATAACTATTATATTATTCTTAAATATGCACTTATTGATGAACCTATAAGTTTGAAATTCTTTTTAAAATACGTATTGTATGAGTTCCTCATTAGTCATAAAGGAACTCAATTTGCTAATGAATTACAATTTAGAATGCACACAAACGAGTTCAGGTAGCGTTAGTTAACTCTATTCTAAGAGACATAAACCTACTCGCCAGGGGAAATTTTCTTAGATAAATGCAATCCAGTTGAACTCATCCGTAAAAGTTCAAAGATTTTCACTTTACAGACGAGTGTAAATTAGAGAAAATAGTTGATTTCGTTAAATATAGATAACGTCACAAGTACAACGTAATCTTTTGTATAATACGAGAGCATTTTGCTGACAAACTGTTTAACTGGCATTCTGTTAACAATATCGTTAACAAAATTTTGTTGTATTATAAGGTATTTCTCCAGCCTTCTTAGCATGCCTTCGTAGTGTAGGGGTCAGCACGCTCGACGCGTATTCGAGAGGTCCGTGCTTCGAGTCCCGGTGAGGACATTGCTCATTTTTCAAATCTCCTGCTTCGCAAAAGAAATGATCTAATGTCTCTACAATATATATAATGGCATTACACATTTCATATTTCAAAGTGAATTTTGTTACCGAAATGGGACCAAAAACGAAAACGTTCAATGAACTTCATTTTAGTAATGAATTAGATTTAGACGAAGAAAGCCTTTTCAGCGACTTAAGTTTTCAGTTCGAAAGAAATCTGGATACTAAGTCTGGTTCAGAAGATGCATTTAAAAGCATAAAACGGTTACATAAAATTAATGAAGCTTTGCTGACAACGAGATGATTCGTTTTACATGCCCTACTGGAAAATGAAGATTAAAACATATCTGCTGCTTTAGTTGGAAGAAGAAAGATGCTGTTTACTGAGTCGATTACTTGAGCCCTTCACAGATTCCCAGAAAGGCCTTTCTATCTTACTGAAAATCGATGGGTCATCGGCCCACTCTATAGCCCATCACGCCTATCATTCTGATAATATCGTCTGAATTATTGCTAACTATGAACACGCGGTGGAGCTACACACGATGGGCCGATACAAGAAGGACCAAGCCCACCATCTGTGTAGAAAATAGAAGAACCATACTGAAGGCACTTATGCATCTAATGGCTACCCAGTTTACTATGTGCACAGCTGTTTAAGCTAAAATGGAAGGTAAAAGCCATTACGATACACGTCCAAGAAACGGATCTATGATCCCAACTCCTTTACATACTATGCGTTTAAAACCGGAACCCTGGCGGATCTAATTCCTTGGTATTTTTTACTATCAAATTAGTCAGATAGCGCTCACACGATCAGAAAATCGTGTGAGCGCTATCTGACTAAGGGGACCGTTGCCTTCATGGAGGACTTTCTAAGAGGAGCTGACTCATATCCATGTTACGCATAGAGAAAACCACAGTAAGGGACATGAAGCCAGCCCATTCGTCTAGAATCGAACTACTACTGTTTAGCGACTTTGCGCGAAAAGCGAAATTTTAGCGAAAGTTAATTTTCTGTTGTGTTGAGAACACCTGAACTGAAGACGGTAATTGCATCTTTCCATGTTTATTTAGATAAAAAATAGATAAAAGGCATTTCTGCTATTCCTATAAAAACTTTTTAAATGCTTTCAGGAATGTCATTCCTACTGCCAATGATTTTAAGAAAGCATTATATGAATTATAACAAAGTTGCAATCCAGTTGTTAAAAAATAAAAAACAGGTAGCAATATTTTCAGAAAAAAAAAAAAAAAAAAAAAAAAAAAAAAAGAACATTTTTGATGCGCGAAATAAATGATATTAAGTTAAGATTATTGGTATGTAAAAACATTTTTGACAATGTATTCTAGCATTTCTCTAACTCCATTAGCCGATTATTATTGAATTAGTGTACAATGGGCATATAATTAAGCGCTTTATTATTTTTTTCCAAAATTTTATTAAATAAAGCATGAATGAAAAAATTTCCTAATGCTTAAACATAGTATTTAATTCAGCGTTTCAAATAGAATTTAATACCAGTAAAAAACATCAGTGTATGCCATACACAATTTTCTCACCAAAATATGAAACTAAAAATTCGCTGAATGTTAGAAGTTCTACCTGCATTATAATCTGGCGGCTAGATGCATGGAGGTTTTGCGTTTCCCTCACGTGTAATGTGCTATTAGTCATTTTCACCAAAGCATCCCTCCCTTTAGAAAAATAGTGTGGTTTGCCATAATATAAATTATCCAATCAAATGCTTACAAAATTGCAAAATATTTATACACGTTTGGAAATTTTTAACCGAACCAAAATACTTATGTTTGATAAATTTCTTTTTACAGGATAAGCCAAATGAAACCATGGAAGAGTCGTAAGTTTAAATTATGCTTTCTCAGAAGTCACTTTTTATTCACTATTACATGAAAATACTATTGTATTCAGAGTAACATTATTACTAAGTACTTTATTGTTTGCATTATAGTTTGAAAAAGCAAATTAAAACTTGTATTTTTAATTCAGTTAAATGCCTGTAAATATTAGTTATGTTTGCTCATTTCGTAAGTTATTTTATTATGGAAGAGTCGTAAGTTTAAATTATGCTTTTTCAGAAATCACTTTTTATTCACTATTGCATGAAAATACTATTCTATTCAGAGTAACATTATTACTAAGTACTTCGTTGTTATATATAAGTCAACGCTAATGATATTGAAATTACTTAATTACAAACTCTTATCATTTACAAAGGCTGCTTTCATAAAAAGTTCTAAAAATTATATGGTAATTTTTGCGTATTTACAAAAATTGTATCCCTGACTCTTGCGACCGTTCTGCTACTTTAAGAGCTGTTCTGGATTATTCTAGAAATATCAGATTTTTTTCTTTTTTATTTCAATGTAAACTCTGATCTCGAGACACTGACATTTGCCCTGAAACAACAGAACACGCGTAGAGATCAACTAAACGGAGAAATAAACGGCAGTGTGGAAGAGCTCATTACTTAACAGAATTCGTATGGAGACACAGACAAGCTGCAGAGAAAAACAACCTATTCCATATTGAAAGCAATAGCCGAACAATACCTGTCATAACAGTGACTAAAGAAACGTTCTGGACCCTACATTGCATGGAGGTAGGAAAGGGAGGAGGGGCCATTCCGCGCTAGAAGTGAAGCAACGCTTTGAAGCTTGGGTCACCAGACGGGGTGTTCTTTGTTTACATTCAGAAGCTCGCTTGACAAGATTCTGATAGTACTTCGACACACGACAGTTCCATAGAAATCGGAAAAGGGACACTCTCACATGAAAGAAACATTCATAGTGTAATGGATAATAGCAATTCGTATAGTTTACTGACATTTACGCAAAAATCACATCTTGTTTATTTTTCGATAACTAACCAACAGCGATTTTGATTATGAATAATTTGTTTTATAAAATTCTAAGCTGTTGTTGCACTACAAAAATATAGATTTTAGAAAATTGCTAAAAGAGATCTGCCAAAATTTTTTTCTAGAAGATTTGAAAAGTTTGAAAACTTGATGGCTAATTGTAAATATAAAATTATGTATGTTAAAATATTTGTAATTAGGCACATAGGTCAGATTTTAAGTTTTTATAAATACAGTAACGCATGCAAGGGCTATCTGCCTAAAGAGAGAGATGCCATCGTGGAGGAATTTTGAAGAAAAGCTGACCTTTGAGTGGGTATTAAAAATAATACTTATAATTTTCATTCAAATTATATTCATATATATTTTTATGTAAAACTTTCGGGTGTATGCTAAATTAGTGTAAATTACTTTACACGAAAAATATAGTGAATGCACAGAAATTAAAGATTTGCACATGCCGGAAAATGATAAATAGGAAATATGTATGGGTATTTATGCATGTGCTTGCAAAAAGCATGTATCTGCCTTTGACAAAATACTTAAATATTCATTAAATTATTTATAAATGTATTTGAAATGAAGAATTTATTCACTTATAAACAAATGTGAAAGTACTGTGAAGAAATCTAATGATTAAATGTATCTAATTATAATGATTATAAATGTTATCTAAATATATAATAACCTTATATTGAATTGTAAACATAAATTGAAATCCTGTTCACAAATACGTTATAAAACTATTAAGCAAGAATTGTTCGTATTGGAAAGCAATCTGTTAAAAGGTATTGTAACGCAAATGATATGAGATGCGCACTTAAGAACGTAATAAAGAGTTTTGGAATATGTATTGTTGAAATGAAGGGTAAAAAAAAAAAAAAATCTGATAAGTATAATAAAAGAATTATTCCCTTTACATTTTATAACTCAGTTACAAGTTTTAAATAATACTTAAAAAAAAAAAAAAAAACTTATTTTATTCCCTTTTAGAAATGTTCAGAGAAAGTCAAATACTATTTAATACCTATTTAATTTCGCTAATTCCTAATAATTCTCTAATTTAAAATGAACCGAATAGAGCATTAATTATAAATTGACTTACATTTTTCGATTTAAAAGAAGCCAAAAAAAATCATGTCATATTTAAGAAAGTATTTTAGAAGAAGCTCTATAAATAGAAAGAAATAATGCATAATTTTAATATTAATAATACAAATAAACTTTGATCTTAATTTTTGTACCTTAACCGAATAAAATCGAATTACCTTAATTTTTTCTTCTAATGTATTTAACGGAAACTTGTGAAAATATTTCATTCAAATTAAACCATTCTGAGAAAACTGTCCTGTGAAAAGTATAGCATTTAATTCCGTTCAGAATGAAATGTTTGTTTAAAAAATATGTTGTTTTCACATACATAGGACTCTGAAGTGTTGTAGAAAAAGAAAATATATACATTTATATGTATATTTGCGACGTAATTACAAAATATTTAGACCCGAACGCGTCAAATCTCATAGAACTCAATGGTAAATGACCCAATGTTTTGGTCACCACGTAGGGATCGCCGGTGCTTCAGAGCAAGGTACGGAGAAACTTGTTTAGGGCGACTCCATCTTACTTCCTACCTCCATGCTACAGTGCATATGCAGTTTTCACATTCAACTATGGATGCTTTGGGCAGTCAACTACAGACTTGATACCTCCTGTCATATACCTCCTGTCTGGTTGCCATCGTTTTGGTTTGGAGGAGGGTTCACCTATTTTTAATCATATGGTCCCGCTGGGACAAGGCGGATTAGGTCTCCCTCGAATAATTCACGAATAATTTATCTCCTGTCATATGGTTTTTATTTATGTGGATTCATGTGAAGATTCCGAAATGAGCCCAAAACTGATCTGGGTTGATAATATCCAACGCTGTTGCTTGTAAGCCACCTTATTATCACCAATTTATATATGTTGTTCTTAACTGCAGTGTTCTTATATTTCAAAGTAAGTATTGCTAACTTTAAGTGCGTCATGTTGTTTAGTTCTTTGTTTATTGAAATATCTAATCTTATAGACATGTTTTTTATGTTTAGAAAAAGCATACAATCATAATGTCCTACTGAAGAATGTTTAGAAATCTTCCCTTTGCTCGGAATATATACTTGCAAGGAAAGCATAAATATTGGTTATATGAATAATATTGGTTTCTATTCAGTTTTAAAGAACAAATAAAATAACCTGTATTTAAAAAGGCTATAAAGATTGAAAGTGAATTCTTTTGTATTTTCAGTGGCCTCATCTCCGTACAAATCTATCTAGATGTCTCGGAAGTCATTCGCTATCAGCACAGACCGCAATACAGGGTAAAAAAACTTCTGTATTTTTTATTGTGTTTTGTATGAATATTATGCACTTTTTTAAGTAAAGTGTGGATCAGTTTGTTCTCAAGATAAGAACAAGAAGACCAATTTTTTGACTTAAATGTAAACCTTTCTCTTTCAAGGATCTTTGAAATTGCACCTGGAAAAATTGTGCAATATATCTCATATAATTTTTCAATTGTCGTTTGCCAGCAAATATCCTGATAATGATGAAATATTTTGAGGTGTAACCTAACAACAATTACAATTACTTGCAGAACGTGTCAAAAAAGACGGTCATAGTTTAAAGAGATGATAAAATACTAACTAGCTAGCTATGTTCGTAGTATAGTGCTTAATGTATTGTGTAACATGAGCACGGAAATGCACTAATTACATAGAATATGGGAAATGGAAAGTGGTTTCAGTCAGATTTACAAAAAATAATGTTTTATATTTATAAGAGTGGTCCAGAAAAATGACCCCTAAATTCAAATCATTTGAAAAAGTTTTTATCAAATATTTTCCTTAGAACTATTAAAAGGATTTATACATTCACGTAAATCGCGAAAAGAAATATTAAATCCATTATCTTCTTCTATAGCAGACGATACTCAGTTCTTACTATTTATTTGATGCTTTTGTAAGCAAATTATCCAATTCTAACATTCTTCAAAGGAGCTTTCCGAGGTTGGCTAGCTTCCAAATTCGAATAATTTCCTAACGTGGAACTCTGAGAAAAAGAAAAGTTGCGATTGCTTTTAATCTGCATTTTATTCTCGAGAAATTCTTCTTCTTGTGTTTCTAAGTCGCTATCGGGTTCAAAATCCGAAAAGGCCGATTCTCACATTAGATTAAATTTAGTTCATTCCTTATTAATTAAAGCATTCAAGATTGTTGTATTATAGCATTCATTGGTGGAACTTGAATATTTTAAATTTAAAACATTAAGAATTAAAATTAGATTTGGAAGCGCGAATATGCTTAACAAAAATTCTTCAGTTTCCAGATTATTAAAAGAATAACCTCCACTAGTGATCCTCACCCATGCAGCCCTTTCGCTATCACGGGAAAATCGGCCCGATTTGTCGTCAACACATATTTTTCTTCACATGCCTATGTTATATTTTGGAATATTATATTAAGTTTATTTAGTTTAATAATTTTGTTCCCCTAATGTATACCTCTGACTGTCTTAAATTTTAAAAGAAAAAAAAAAAAAAAAAAAAAAAAAAAAAAAAAAAAAAAGCTTTTCAACTAAACCCATTTTTAGAATTACTAAAATATTACCTAGAACTAATGAATAAAAAACCCTTTTAATAATACATAAAATGTTTTGTATTCAATTTTATACACATATATCGTTACGCACAATATAAAACTTACCTTTATTAATATATCTATCCATATATTTATTAATTTTAAGAGAGTAATGTTCTAACAAGATTCAAAAGTAATTCCATTTTCAATTAATATTTCATAAAAATGTAAATTTTCTGCATGCATGAGTGGTTTCTCTGACTAATTAAAATTTCCAAGAAGTTTTGACGAATCATGTAAACATTGTATCTACATAATTTTGGAAACGATAATATAACAGAGTATCTCTGACGTTTAGCCCATAATTATAAAATGTGATAATTTTGCTCTATTTGATACTGACATAATTTTCTAAGTAGCTCTCTGTAGTTATCATAACAAACTTTTCTTACGTTGGTTGCTTATAATATATATATTATGTATTTAATTTCTACTTGACGTCGAAATGATCCACGGAGAATAAGGTGCCAACGGATTGTCCTGTTGGCGAAAGGGCGTCGGGGAAAAGTTCTAGCCCCTCATTGCATTAGTAGCTTTTTTCTGTGTGTGTGTTTAGATTTACATGCAATTATTTTTATTTGCACTTAGCATCTTTCAGCTGATAATTCAAGTAAATATTACCTTCTGACATTTTTCATAACTTTTTTTATGAGCAGTATGAGCTCAATTATGAGGAAATTAAAGTACTGTAAATTAGACCTCAATATAAATGTATTCTTCTTTTTCAGACTGTCGAGCTGTTCAGTTATATTGGTGGCTATATCGGTATCTGGATGGGAATATCATTAGTTGAACTGATGGATTTTCTTGAAGCTTTGTGCCGTATATTTACCTACGCATTTCGAAAGAGGAACACTGAATAGATGTTTAGATAACATAAATCACGTGTGAAAAAGAAGAAATTGTTTCCTTCGTCAACTTCTAATTACATAAGAAGAATTTCCGACTTTTTTTAAAATTTATTTTTGAAGATATCAGAAACAAAGAATGCAAAATTTGAGTTCCTATTTCTCAAATCAGCATTTTAGGATGAAAATAAAGCATAATTCCATTTTACATTTTTTGCTGCGTCATAGGATCACAGTCTACTATCCTTTTAACTAAACTGAGTAACCTTTCTAGAATGTGCAAAGAGTTTTCATTCCTCTTAGAACACTAGCAATGCAAATATAAATGTATAAAAATAAAATTAAAACTCGGTTCTTGAAGATTTATTAATACCAGTAGTAATTTAATATTTAAGAATCAAAATATTCAACCTAAGAACCTAACTCCTATTATTAGCGCGTCTACTTACGCAATTAACTTATAAGATTGTCTCATCAATCAGAATAGTCAGTCCGCAAATTCTCACAAAGTTATAAGATAACCGAACGTCGGGCCAAATTTACCAACATAACCAAATTTACCAACTGTCTTCTTAAATCTAAATTATCGCCTCATGTTTTAAACTTAGTTCATTTTAAACTTTCTGTTTGACTAAATGAAATAAAAAAATGCAGAAAATATTCAACATATAAGTTAAAACAAAACTTATAATATCAGCTCACATTTAAAGTTTATGTCATTATGCAAATTGTAAGTATAATCAACTCCGGTTAAATGGCGGCGGAGTAGCCGGGCTTTGTCTTTAAAAAGTTAAGATTGTTTATTGAGTAACGATGGAAAAAAATTTGTTACAAATATCAGGAAAAAGCAAAAGTTCTATAGGAAATATAAAAAGAAGAAAATGCGTTGGTTACCAGCATAACTTTCTACAAGTCAAACTGCTTAGAAATAGAGGTAAAATGTTAACAGCCTTTTTCTCTCAATTATGATGTAGGTTATTCCTCTTTCCTATGTTTTTTTTTAAATGCTCTCAAATTAACTGTGATTTTGGGGGTAGCCGTGGACGTCGTCCTCGTTTAATTAAGAGTCTACTGTACACACAGTTACCTTGGCATATATTCAGTTTGTCAATTATTATTCAGACCATTCATTATCTAAATCATATATTTTTTTACCATACTCACTATAAGTATGTTGAAACATAATGTCATGATGAATTTTCACTAATGATTATTCATATTTTGGTACAAAATTTCATTTTTTTAAAACAAAACCTTTTAAACAGCATGAATGGTATTGTATATTTATTTTCCACGGCAAGGATATAAGTTTTTTATTTGCATAAACATGGAAGTTAATACATGTAAGAAAAAGGCAATATTTTCGTCTCATTTTTATCTTGTAACATAACACAAATGAAAACTCTTCTCCATTTCTGCTCACATGCTTTGTAAGCTTTCTCCGTGAATGATAACCAATGAAGCTGCAATCATGGATTTAAGAAATAAGAGATGAAGTTAGCATCGTGCTACAAATCTGAAGACGAAAACGGATCAGTTCTCACCCCCACGGTCCCTTTCTTTTATCGGCCCTCTTACCGTCTCTTATTACAATGGGATGTTATGGGCGTTGATGATAACCTCGACAATGTTCTAGAATTTTTTTAATGTAAACTGAAAGAGTAGTTTCTTATTCATCTACTGGTTATTCAGAAAGATCTGATGCATAAAAAGTTAAGGATTTAAGCTTTCATAGGTATGTCGTTTTTTACATAAATACTTTGCCAGAAGCGTTCCAGAACTTTTTTTTTTTTTTAATTTCTGAATTTGCAGCACAAAAAAGGAATAAATGTTGTTTTTGTTACCTGGTATGTATTCTTACTTGACATTACCTTGGCCATGTTTCCACGCAAACTTACTGGGTGGTAGGGTTGTGCTTAGCAACACACTGTTCGGATTGTTGTCTCATTCGTTAAGGTTACACAATGGATGCTGATTGTGAGCAAAGAGTAAACCCCCTAGTGAAATATGGAGCATCTTTAAGGAAGCATATACAGGCGAGGCGCTGTCGTGTTTTCGAGTGGCACAAAATGTTTTGTGAAGGCAGTGATTCAGTGCAAGAAGGTCCCAGAGCTTGTCACCCGTCTATTGCAAACGCACATGCTATTGCAAACGTGGAGCATGCAAGGCAGTTACTCTAAGAAGACTAATATCAGAAGACTTGAATTTGAATCGTAATGTGTGTCATAAGATCTTACGCGAAGATTTAGGCAAACGGAAATTCAATGCAAGAATCGTCCCTCATTCACTATGAACAGAAAAAGATGAAGAGCCAGACTGTGTCAAAATTATTGTAATTTTTGTTTCCGTGAGTGAAAAGATGACTGAAAGGAAACTTATCAAAATTATTGCAGGCGTCCAACGAGCTGTGAAAAATGAGCTTGCAAGCATCGCAGTTGAAGATTTTCCTGCTGGCTTCCAAGACCTCCAGAAACGTTGTATATAGATAGCCAAGGGGGTCTACTTTGATAGCAGCTAGATCATTACTTGGAAAATGCAATTTTCTATTTTTTACGACCTTTTGTCCTGGAACTTTTCTGACATAGGATTTATAAAGTAATCTTTATTTTCCTCTCCATTCTCATTGTGTCAGCTTTCTTCTGTGATAAAACTGCCTAACCTCAATTGTTTTCGTATTGTAGTCTACACTTTAAATAGGAATCAAGATAACGTTGGCTGTGAAGAATGTGATATTATTTGAACGTTGTTTCTTAATTTCTAATAGATAATATATGTATAATGATATCTCAGAGGACTGTTGAATTACGCATATTTGTTAATTACTTTAAAATGAAA